GGAAGGAAGGAAGGAAGGAAGGAAGGAAGGAAGGAAGGAAGGAAGGAAGGAAGGAAGGAAAAAAGCGAGTGGAGATAGTTCAAGAAGACCCCTGGACAGGGGAGTGGATGGGCAGTATTAACAAAGAAATACTTATGGGTCCTCCAATCCCCCATTGGGCTAGACCGGTCATGGTCACCATGGCCCCTCTCCGCTGGACCAGTGCACCAGCAGAGGGGAGTGCCAAAATCCAGGATTGGAGGACAGGTAAGTATTTCTCGATGGCAACTAATGCCATGTGTACCCACAGAGTGGGCTCTGCATGCCAGCTGTGGCACATGTGCCATAGGTTCGCCATCACTGCCATAGACCATGTGCGGATGATCCTAGGAAACCCCATGGAGCAAGTTCATTCCGACCGAGGTTGAGGCAAAACCCAGGCAAGGAAGTGTGGAAGCCACAGGCGGGCTGGGTTTTCCACCCTCAACAATGACGTTAACCGTCCCTGAAGCAAGAGACGGAATCTGTTATTAACGCTGAAATTGACAAGCTGTTAACAAACACCCAGGCAAGGAAGTGTGGAAGCCACAGGTTGGCTGGGTTTTCCACCCTCAACAATAACGTTAACCGTCCCTGAAGCAAGAGACAGAATCTGTTATTAACGTTGAAATTGACAAGCTGTTAACAAATAAAGATGTTTTGTTAGAAACGTGTGGTGCCCCCGAGACATCCTTGCACTGAGATCCAGAGGCGGGAGAGAAGGGATCTACACAGAATCACAGACTGATAAACCTTTTGGCAATTAGCAATGATGAAGATAACGAAAGGAAGCCGTTAGCGTCCAAACTGTCCACTGCTGCTGTCGCATTTATCGAAATAAGGCCAGAGCTTTACCGGGAGAGGGTCCTCCAGCGGCTGCAGCAGAAGGGTCTCCAACCTGTTCACTGGCTTCGCTCTCTAGTCCTGTTGTTGTCTCAGCATCCTCGGGAGTTCTGATGCGCTCGCGAGCTTCTGTACCAGCCCTGAAGAACAGATGTAACAAAAGATTCGGAGGGGAAACAAGGCAAGGTGGAAAACGTTGCCCCTGTGTTCAGTTTCATCTTCTCAGACTTAGGCACTGCTCTAATCAGTGGCCAGGGTTGTTTTCAGTTCTTAGTTTCTAGCCCATACATAGTACAGAAATAACCTTCTGCTCCCATTTTGTGTGCCAGCTCAACAGACAATAGACTGGGTTGTCCAAAAATAAAGTAAATTAATAGAAAGTAAAATCTTGTATTTTTGATGCTTCCTCTTTAAAAACAGAATGATGCGTGGATAAATTAACTGACAATCTGGCTGGGAAAGACAGTGGAGCAATTTTGGAGGGGAGGAAGTTGAGGGCTGAAGTTTGGGAACCCATGAAAGAAGAGGCACAGAGAAGGTTGGGACTGTGTAAGCATTTAGAGAGTCTGATGTAGAAGGAAGGAAGTTGAGATAAATAAGAGATAGGATTGGAGTGTTCCTAAGAAAGATTCCCAGGTGCTCCTGGGAAATATAGGGTGTGTACATCCGGGGCTGAATAAGGATGGACCAGGTCCTAATGTGTCCAAGTTCAGAAGCCCTGAAGCATGATCGCAAAAAAAGGATACTATTTGAACAGAACTGCTTATTATTATTATTGACTATTTGTTGGTACACTTTACTTAGGTGGTCCCTCATAATTTGCAATCTAAGAAAAATAAAACACACCAGATCACCACTTGTGGTCCCCATCCTACTGACTGCAATGCAGCACTGATTTTTTTTTTAAAACTCTTAAATGCTCTGAAATCTGAAGAAATTGGATGCTGCTGGGCTGCAAATATAGCTGGACTTCTCTGTTCCGAAATCTTTTATCCCTGGCAAACTCTTGCTCCACAGCTCTTCAAATGACCGGCTGTGACAACAACAAAAGGGACATTTGAGGGAGCATATTCATTTCAACCGATTGTTTTCTAGAAAACAGATCATGGGTGAAAAGTCGACAGGTGGCCCTCCAGGTGCTTTTGGGCTGCAAATAGACCAGCAGGTAGGAAACGAGTTCAGAAACATGTGGGAGAAAGAAAGGAGGCAGAGAAAATTGTCTTTGGTCTCCACTTACATTCTGAAAAGCAGGTCATGTAATCCTGTGGAATAAAACAATCCGCATTTTAAGAGCCGTTTTGCAATTAAAACAAAAACAAAACCATCCCAATGAAACACCAGCCCCTGTTTATTACAGAGATGGGCAGAAAGTAGATCTTCAGATGACCTGCTGTAGGTCAGGACTGGGTGAGGCAACCACCTGTCGGATCCCGTCCTTGGGAGCTCCAACCTTCTCCCTGATTTGAGGGAAAAGCCAGAGGGGCCCCACGGCCTGTCCAGCAACCCCCTGAAGCCATCTGATCTCCTGAGGGGTGACAAAGGAGACGGTCCCATGCTCTGGGTTGCAATGGGAGGTCTCGTTCAGGGTTGCCTCCCTACTTGGAAAGTGGGGGTGGGGGAGGCACCACATCATCCTTCGCTTCAAGCAACAGCAGGTTTCAACCAGCCTAATATCCATGGGCAAAAAAGGGATAACCAGGAATGGATTCTCTTGGGGAGGCACTCTGAGTTCTGTTAGGAATTCTTTATTTTTACTTAAACTATGAGGCTATGGCTGAAAGGTCTCAGAGCACTAGTGGGTTTTTTTAAAAAAAAGGAAAATATAATGAATAGCACAGGCCTGACGTCTGCTTACCCGTAGGCGGTAGACAATAAAGCTTGCTTTCCCTTGGTTTTAATTACCTTTACATTTTCTGGTTTCATGTCTTGCTGCGAACAGAGACCCAGTGGCCTCCTAATACTGCAAGGGGAGGGTGCCTTAGGTTTCTTTTCATCTTCTGGAAAATCTCTCCCTCCCATCCCACTCATTATTCCATGTTCAATACACACCATAAGCACGCACACCAGTGTGTTATCTAGGCCACGCAATGTAGACTGTGCGCCCCTGGATGACTCTGTTATTGCCAACGCCACACTCTGTCTCTCCTTCACTGTCCATCAGACCTCCCTTGCACCTGCTGGCCCTAAAGCCCATTTTTATTTATTTTATTATTTCTGCCCTCAAAGCAAAACCTCAAATAACCCAGCCTAAGGCTGGAAGGCTTTCTTGGGATCCTTTGAACTAGTGGCTGCAGCAGGGGACAAGGGGGAAGCTGCCGACCAACAACCAGCTACTCACTTGGATTGTTCTCCCGGTTCCGGACGACGTACTGGAAGACCAAGAGAGAGGCAACAGTTGCCACAATCATTCCTGCCACCGCAGCTCCGATCACAGCAGGGTACGCATTAAACGGAGGGTCAGCTGCAAGACAGAGAGAGGAAGAGGAGACGGCTGTTGGAAGCTGTGGATTCTACCCACCAGGATGCGATCTGGATCAGATGTCTCTCATGCATGTCTTGTGCCATGTGTCTGGGTCTTGCAGCCCTCCCCAGCCTACCTCCCTACATATCCCATCATCTCAGGAAAGCTGGGGTGATGGGAGTTCTCATCAACACATCTGGAAATCAACAGATTAGAGAAAGTGGAGGAATAGATTAACAACATCAGACCCATTGAAAGCCATCGAAGTTGGTGGACACTGCTAACAATGGGGTACAAATTTCCCATTGTTCACCTTGCACAGTTTGAAGCAGTTCTTTCAGTGTCCTAAAACTCGCACCGTCTGGGCTCTGCCCTTGTGTAGGCTGTCCCTACGCCCTTGGGTTTTTGTTACCGCGAATGGTCTACCCTTATAAGCGTTGCCAGAAGACAATCTTGTTTTTGAAGGTGTTCTCTATTTGCTGGGCTGTCCGGTCCAAGTCTAGTATCAGGTCAAAGAACTTTGTGGAAGAAGATCAGGGACCTTGAAGACCCTGATGAACAGTAAGGAGCGCCTGGAAGAGCAGACCCAGCAGGACAGAGTCCTCCCCGCTCAGATTAGAGGCAGCACACTTGTATTTAAACTATAAGGATCATTTCTACATTCAGATCTCTCCCTGGACGTTTCCACGTGCAAATTAAGTCCTATTTTTAAAGTATCTCAGACAGGAAGGCTTTTTCTGGGCTCCGCAGGAGTCTTGCACTGGCGACAATCTCATTGGTCCCCATATCAATACCGGGAATTTGTCTCTCAGGTGCTTGCCCATAAAACAGGTACCATCTTATACGCTAAGAAAAGAGACCTTGAGCATTTCACATAACGATTAGAAAGAGCCATTCTGGGTTTTTTTAAAAGGCATTGTAGTAAATGCACTAGAGTAGGCCCATTGAATCAGTGGGGATTTGGTGAGTTATAGCATACGCTCTATTGATTCAAAGGTACCTACACTCACTGCAATTACATTTTTTGAAGCTTAATTCTCTGTCAAAGGAAAACCTCAATAAGGTCTTACACAAACATTCTCTCTCTCTCCTCATTCCTTGCCTGGTTCCCACCGATTCCGCAGAGCATCTGTTTCCAATCTCCTCAGTTTTTCCAAGAAAATAGTTTGCTTGTTTTTCTTGAGCATTTTGCTTTGGTTTTGCACCTTCCTCAAAGCGTCCCTGACCTGCACCCAGATGTGTTGCAACAGATGTTGTCCTTATGGAGAGAAGAGGCAGCCACATCGGCCTGGCCTTCCTGCTGGAATTAATCCAATATCTTGTGCAGAAAGTCTTGGGCAGGCCTGCCAGGAGCCACCTGCAGCTCAGCTTCTGAATGAAAATAAATGACCCTGAAGAGAAGTTCTTTTTCAAACTGTTGAACTGGAGAAATCATTGTAAAATCACCCACAGATTTATCTACAGGGGTGTACTGTAGATCCTCATGACAATTCAAAGCATGGAACAATAACTTTTTTGGACTAAAATTTCCATAATTTCCCAGTCAGTATGGCCACTGGCCATACAAAGGTGATGTAGTGGTTAGTGCTACAGTGAGTCATGGATGATCCATGTTCATGTCGCCACTAAGTCACAAAACCCACTCTTGCAGCTTGGCCTACATCACAGGGTTGTCATGAGGTGCAGCAGAGAAGAGAATGGCATCTACTAGAAACATATGTAAAAAGTGGGGAGTTTAATCAGACCCCCAGGCCCCAGCTTCTGTATATTCAGTAGAGAAAGCTCCATGTCCCTTGTCAATACAAAACTTGGCTGCCTCTGGAGATGTTTCTGGATGCAGCCAAGAGCCCTGGAAAAGGCGTCTCTATTAACTCATGACTTGTATCGAATATTAGCAGGTTGGAAGCAAAAAAGGCACTCTCGAGATTCCAGGCCAGGTCAAATGATTAGATCTTTTCCTGCATAAAGACATATCTTTGTTTTCTGTTTTGGAGATGTTGCAGAAAACGTTGTGATCCCGCAAACCCACTCATGTGGGAGCAGGGAGGGAGAGAGAGAGACTATAAATAGGTCTGCTATTTATGTGTACTTTGAAAGGTGTTGTTGGGGTAATGGTATTTGTGTGTGTGTGTGTTTTGATTGTTTGGTTGGTTTGGTTTTGTGTGTGTGTGTGTGTGTTTTGTTGGTTTGGTTGGTTTGGTTGTTGGACAAGTCCCAACTGGCTTGCCATGTTGGCTGTGGGGTTCTAACAGCTGAAGTCCAAAAGAGTAACTTTTCCAGGCCCCGGACATTCCTTTGCAATGCGTTCAGTGGCATCCGCTCAGAGGAGGGTGGAGTACACTTTCCAGAAGAGGTAGAAGGTAATAATAATCCACGGCAGGAAGGATTAACCAAACCATGCAATTAAGAAGAGATGATGGTACAAAGTAATGACAATCCCCATCAAAAACCATCAGATGTAATTTTCCCTTTCCAACCTGATCCCCACCCCGAGAATGGCATGCATGCAGCCGCCCATGCCATGTGCTTTCACAAAACGAAACCCAGCAGCCTCATGCAGGACTGCCAAGACAGGGGAAGGTCGGTGAACGAAGCCAAGCTCTGTTTTGAAAGGGGAGCAGCAGTAACAGCAGCAGCAGCAGCGGCCAATGGAAAGCAGAAGGATCAAAAGCAAAGGTTTGGGGAGAAGCAGCAGCAGAAATAAGTTCTTTCTGGTCATTCCAATAACATGCCAGATTCCCAAGCTCTTTTGCCCTTCTCGGTTCCCAACCAACCTGGCTTGAACATCGGAGGCTGCCTATGCCAGGTCCAACTACACGTACATCTCGGTAGCCTCTACTCTCACTGCTAGCTAGGAAAAGCTTATTGTTGCATCTATCCCCAGCCCTTGGAGTACGTCTCGAGCAGCCTCAGTTCTAGAAGTGAACTTCAAGCCCTGGGTTCAAATTCTGGCTTATCTGAGCAGCGGTGGGCAACCTCAGGGCATCCCGGCAACATTTCTCACCTGCCATGGCCACAGTACCACATGGTTTCAAAACTATGTTTTGCTTTGTTGTTTTGAGAAGAATCATGCCCTCTAAAGGTACAATCAGTAATAATTAAATGCCGCCAAGTCGATTCTGATGTAGGGCAACCCTTTTCTAGGGTTTTCTTGGTAGAGAGCTCTCAGAAGTGGTCTACCCTTCCCTTCTTCCAGGGGTGCCCTCGGACTAGGTAGCTTGCCCAAGGCTACACAGGCTGGCTCTTCTCACTGGGGAACTGAACTCCCAGCCAAAAACTACTCATAGTTTTTTGCACACACACAAAAGGGGTGATAGGGAAGGCCTGCAGGCACCATCAAAAGTAACACAAGGGCTGCATGCAACCTGCAGGCACAATCCCTATGCCTGCATTAGAGGAACAATGGAAAAAAAGGAATAGAAAAATTGTGATCCTCCATTTTGGTTTGCTTGCTAGCTTTGGCGGTTTCTCATTCCCTTCTCCTAACCTGACAAGGGCTGACAAGAAAGGAACCTTAGTTTGGTTGGAATAATTAGCTTTGCTGCCCTGTTTAATTCCTCATTAGGCTAGTCATTCCCCTCTTCCTGCCAAATCAGAGCAAGAACAATTAGGCAACATGCCAGAGTGCACTTCCTTATGAACAGTAAGTCAAGATTGTGTTGAATGTGTCCTCTACGTTATGTGTAAAGGCATCCTTGTGTGTTTAAAAGGAAGGATGTCTGTGTCTCCAAAGTAGATAATGAAATAGATAATTACCAGACCAGGTAACTGCCCCCCCTGCCAATCTGACCAATTCATATTTAATGTCAGAAAATATGGTGTTGCCCAGAGAAATGTACGGATAAAGAGCTATGTTGTAAAGACCAGCATGCACGCTCGGCAAGGGGGACATCGGTGGCATCATGCGCCTGCCAAAGTTCACACACACCTGCCCCAACAGGGACCCACAGCTGGTTTTAGGCCTTCCTTGCTGTTTGCTGTCCAATCCTCCTAAGCAAACGAGTTAGCAATTAGAGAAGCAAAAAGGAGCTACACTTTCCATGAATCTTGCCCTTGCTCTCTGGGAGGTGAGCAAAAGCAGAGGAGGAGGAGGTGAGCAAAAGCACTTTGGTATCTTGGATGGAGAGGGTGCACTCAGAGAGAGGGCACCCTTGCCGCCATCTTGCCCAGGCAGCATCTGGACATGACCCTGTTCTTCAGCAACACAGGGAGGTCCATTCATCATAGCTCTCTAATATGCTTCTATGGAGCAGAATGTGAGATTCCCGAGTTTCACTTCCATGGGTTTGCCTTGAAATCTGCCTACCAAGATATTTTCACAGCTACCTCTTATTCTGGTCAGTCTCAGGATGGGGGTACCTCTAGAGGTAAAGCTGACAGCTATCTTCTGCAAGCTAATCATGCCCCGAATCTACTCTGAAGCAGCAAAGCTGGGTCCCACAAACTTTCAAACTGTGAAGCAGGCATATTCACATATGACTTCAGCCCCAAACCAGGGAAGGAAAAAACCAGCCCAGATTCTATTATGTGTAGCATCTCCATTACTCTTTAGGACAGTGGGTTCTGTAGGATGATCTTGACCTCGTTCTCAGAAGTCCCAGCCAGCATGCGTCAATGGGCCAGGGATTCTGGGAGCTCCAAAACACATAGAAAGTCAAAGTTTGAGAACCACTACCTTAGGAGAAAGGAAGGGCCAAACCTGTTTCCCCAATGCCCAAATCGCTGTCTCCTCCCCAAATCCTAAGAACCAGCTGCCTCGGAAGATGATGGCAGCATCTCTCCCAAGCTAGGTTCCACCCCAGCCTCCAGCCGAAGAGTCCCACTCCAAATGACCCATTTCACCTGGAGTCTTCACTTCTGAGGGGTGCCCTGTGGTACGGTGGTTGACGGCCAGGATGCGGAAGGCATACACCATGGCAGGATCCAGCCCGCCCAGCTTCTGGTCGCGTGTGTCGGCATCGATATCGCTAGCCACCGTTTCCCAGGGGACACTGCCGGCCACTTGCTTCTTGAGAGCCTTTTTGGCTTCCCTCCTCTGAACCACGAAACCAGTCAGGTTGCCAGAGCCTTGGATCTGCCATTCCAGCTCCACCTCCGTGCGGTGGCGGGTGTACATCAGCTTGCTAATGGTCACATTCGGTGGGGTGGGATACTCTGCAAAGAGGCATAGTACTATTATTAACATTAGCTGTCGTTAATGTTTTTTAAATGTACTTTTTAATCAATTAATTGCAACAATCAATTAAAACACTATTAATGAATGAAAACTAATTTATTAACAATTAATTGATCACTTATGGTCTCATTTTCCTTCCAAAGAGATTGAAATAGAGCACATGTCCAAACGTCCATCTAGTTCAACATCCTGTCCCCCATAATAGCCACTTAGATGCCTCCTGGGAATCTGCCCACCATGGACTAGAAGACAGCAACACTCTCCAATCATGCTATTCAAAAGCAGAACCGGCCCAACTATTAGGCAGAGTGAAGCAACCATCTCGGGTGACAGACACTAAAAGGCTGCACTGTCAGTCCCAACCTCCCTGTTATTCCTCCCTGTTCTTCCAGCTGGTCCCACACCTGTTAAACTAGTCTACTGTCCTTAGTTGCTGTGAAGCAACCTATCCCTTGGCTGATATTAATGAGGAGATTAAACTAGAAGATATATTTATCACATTTTGTGAGAGAGGTGCCCTTTCCCCCAAATGGTGAAATATGTCTGTTATATAGCACACTATTTTTCTCACCTACAGTTTGTATCTTGCTTTTATTGTGCTCTGTTGTGTGACTCGTCATTGAGATGTGCTTAAATTTCAGGTCTGATGCCAGGGCATTTTTTTAAGTGTTGGTTTTTCACCTATTAGCCCTAAATGGCCGCCTGGGTCCAAGCTATCTCAAGGACCACATCGCCATTATGAGCCTGCCCAGGTGTTAAGATCTCTTGGTCTCACCACTTTCACTGACACGTTTGGTAGGGACATGGGAGAGGACTTTGGAACTCCCACCCACAGGAAGTCAGGCAGTAAATATCCACTGACACGTAATATATATTTAAAATGGATACATAAGAGAGCTATGAAGGACTTGTTCTCCTCTAGGTATTTTTATTGATTGATTGATTGATTGATTGATTGATTGATTGATTGATTGATTGATTTGATTTGATTTGATTTGATTTGATTTGATTTGATTTGATTTGATTTGATTTGATTTGATTTTTACCCCGCCCCTCTAGACAGCGTCTACTATGGTTTCTTCACTGTCTGCATAGTCTAGGCATTCAGAAGTTGCACACACAACTTACTCAATAAGCAGGCTCTATGAAAGAAAAATAGGACAAGAGTCCTACTTGATCATATCAAAGGCCTACTTTGTCCAGCATCTTTCTTCCCATGCTGAACAGCCATATGCTTCTCAGAAGCTTGCAAGTGGAGCACGAAAGCAAGAGGAAGGGTGTGTGGTAGAGTGGTTACAGTGCTAAAAGGGGACTCAAGAAATTCAGATTCTACTCAGCACTGGAGGATATTGGGCTTGTCAGCTCTCTCCCACCTTGTTTAACCTTACAGGGTTGTTATGAGGAGTAAATGGTGAGTGGAATAGCCATAGATGCTTCTTTAAACTCACTGTGGTAAAGCTCGGGTCTAAATGGAGTTAATAAACAACAACAAAAATTGCTAGCCCTGTCCTATTGTTGCATTGCCGTAATCAAGAACAACCAATGGCCTAAATGCACCTGTCAGTCAGAATTACAGTAGATCCCTTGAATAAAATACTGAACATGTCAACACAAAAACCCATTGATTTCATGGGTTTACTCTAATTGGGTCTAGCAATTGAGTTCATGTGATGGCGTGTGGTTTAGACACTGTGCTCCCTCCATTATTTTGATTGTCAAGGCATTCTATCCAGTTTCAGAAAGTCCATATGAGGAGTCTGTGGCGTTCATTTCCCCTGCATGTGTCTACTTACTCTTAACCTGCAGGCTGACAGGGGCAGAAGAATTGCCCACAGCGTTCATGGCCGTACAGCGATAGACACCACTATCCTTCATCCACTCTGTATCCCGCAGGGTCAGGTTGAACCAGGCATTCTCCCGCTGCAGTTGGTATTTCCTTGCATCCGTTCGAATGACCTGATTCTTGTTGTTGTACCAGAAAACCTCTGATCCCAAATAAGGGCCTAGGAGACGACAGGCCAGCTCAACCTCGTTGCCTTCAAAGAGCGACACCTTAGACCTCTCAACCGCAAGCTTTGGAGGTTCTGTGCAAAAATATACCACAAGAAGAGGTAGTAAGAGCTGGTGGAGACAACTCTCAAAACGGTGGTTTCAGAAATGTTGGCCTGGGCATGTACAACAGTAAAGTTTCATAGCTTTTCCTGATGGATGCTCTGTCTCTCTAGTGGCTGCATGGCCAGCAGAAACCAAATAAGTAAAGTTTTTCGTGCAACAAAGAATGAGAGAGGCTGCCTCTTGTGACTGTGAAACCAAATAAGTAAAGTTTTTCGTGCAATGGTGGTGTGAGAGAGGCTGCCTCTTGTGACTGCCTCTTTTCTCCACAGTTGTTCAAAGGCATTCAGACTCTGGAAAGCCTGCAAAAAAAGGGACAATCCTCATGCCTGCAGCCATTCTAAGCAGTGCGGCCACAGCAGTTACCAAGCATTGCCATCTGCACACTGACAGCTGTTTCACATCGTGTAGGCTTAAGCCTCTAGCAGTGTCCTTTATATATCGATTAAAATGATTTCTAACCTGCCTCCCAATATTCTTCATGTCGAAGTAGGATACAACGAAATCACCAGACAATCCGTTAAAAATAAATACATCTTTTTAAGCTTCAGACATGAAAGCTTAGTTCAAATAGAATCTGAAAATCATGTCAAGCAATGGGTGCGTTAGGGCCAGCCCAAAAGGCAGTTGTTATAGATGGAGACGGCTGGGGCTCCTTGCAAGAGTAAAGTTGCTCGGCATTGTCTCCTTGAACACCTGGGTCAAAAAGAGAGAGTGGACTGTAGGAGGGCTACAGGAGAGCTTCGCAGGTATGCTGAGTGTGCAGGTCACCAATCTTCTAAGGACCATCGAATTCTAATTGGACAGACAAGTCAATTTTAAATCCTAAATCATCATCACAATAAGCAAAAGGCCCCAAAGTTTGCCTCTTCCTCCAGGGAACATGCCACAAGAGGTGACAAAAGGTCCTTTCAGGCATCATACGTCTGTGCACAAGCATGTGGCCACCTAGAATTAGAGATGCTGCTTAAACCTGAACCGATGGACAAACGTCTCACATTCATAATACTCCGTGCATTACAAATCAGGTGGCATGTTCACCGCACCATTGCAAACACAAAGAACCTGGCAATATTTAACTTCCAGTCGCAGGATTCTTTGCTCTGAACATCTATACTGAGTACCTTGGTGGCTGAGATAACTGCATTTCCCAAGAGCCCCGGCTTCTTGCACTGGGCTGTGTCCATGTGAAAGACACTGCAAATGAATGGAGGCCTTGGACAGAGTGTGTTCAGTAGCAGCTGCCATCAAAGCAGATTTGCACGAGTGGCAAGGAAGAGTAAACTAGGGTTGAGGGTGGGCAGGGACTTCCTCCTAGCTAGAAAGAGGCAGATTCGCGAGGCCTTTCCATAATAGCAGAGAAGGCCTGCATGTACAGAGGCCGGCTTTGGAGGTTTTAGAGCTCTTTCCACCTGCCCATCCCTGAGTGAATGTATTCAGGCAATACGCTCTGCAGCTCTAAGTTTAAGATTCACTTACCTGCTGCCTGG